CCACCATCTACGTCCTAGTTGGAGAACTCTACAATGAGGTTAAGCAGCGGTTCTTCTCTGCTTCCCTGTTCTGTGCGTATTCCAATTATTTGTGTGGAAGAAAGATGACCCACTTAGTTGTATAGCCTCTCTTAATTTGGAACAGAACTACAATGTTGTCAAGTTTCATAGAACAAATGTGTTTCCATGTGTTTCTCTTGAAGTAAAATAGTATGGAAAACAATTTACTGAAAAACAATTACGTCTCTATTTTAATCTTGAGAGGAGTATGATTTTTTTCAGTAGTCAAGTTGCTTTTTTTTAATATGAATGATCTCTTGGGTTTAAATATAGTGTTAGATATCAGCTGAGCTATTTGCATCCAGGGAATAAATGGCTGAGACATTTACTACTTTAAATGCTTTAAAATGCAAAGCGGTTGAGTCAATTTTGTTGTTTAGAAGAAAAATTCCAAGCTGGGTGTTTTTGCAGTAGTCTGCGTTCGGCTTTAGGAAAAGTTGGAAACTCGGCTGAATGATACAAACGCAGGGCTTCAAATGAATCATTTTGTTGGCTTCATTAGTTTCATTAGCTGGTATTTGCTCATCACGCTGTGTTTAGCAAATCCTGGGTTTGTATATTTTGGCTCTTAAATCAGCAAGGAACGATAAGCATATTCACAGTTCCTGGTTGTCAGGCTGAAGTATGGCACTTCTTTTGAAGGCCAAATCAGAGCAGAGGCTTTCTGAACCCTGCGTCAAATACATGAACTCAATCCCAGGAAACACCCCCCAGGTGGCAGCAGTCCTGCTGGAGCCGTAATGAGGTGTTGATAAAATTCCAGCCTGGGCGCCGTGGAAGCGAGCTGGCACGGTCTGCGCGGGCACGCACGCTGGGCTCGAATGCAGCCCGCCGCTTTTTCACGTAATCCGGGTCAAGTTTTGGAGGTTTTGCTTCAAAGGCCTGTTGAAAACGGTGGGTTGCAGGGTTTTGCAGGCTGGGGGGGCCCCGGCAGCGGCGCGGCGGCTGGTATCCCGAGGAGCGCTCGGGCTGCTGACAGCCGCGCTGCTCATCTGGCTGCCAAGTCCCACTGCTGAAACTATACTTTTTTATCAGGTCATGTTTGCGTCTGGCAAAGATTTGTAGACACAACATCATTAACAGCGGTGCATATTTTCACAAGATTTACCTCTTCAACACTTTTTCCAAGTTAGTAAATCATAGCTTCTTTAATGTCCTGCTGGCTGCGTGAAAAACAGGAATTTATGTAACAAGCTCTGGGCCGCAAACCTTTTCCTGTTAGGAAAATTTTTTTTTCATTGTTGGCACAGTTAGGAGACAGCTCTGTTACTCAAAGAGCGACCTCAGATGTCCTCAGTACAATAATACCAGATTATAGTATTTTTGATGACTAAGGAATAGCAGTAATTTCTTAAATATTTAACACTTCTTTTGCAGGGAAGAAGGAATTGCATATTAGCACGCTATTTTCTACATCTGATGTTTTGTGTGTTTGAGATGCTTATTTTGATAGTAAACAGTAGGTCTGAGCCAACAGGGTCTGTTTACAAAATACAATAAAAAAATGAACTGGCGCAGGAGGTTTTTTAATCAACAGACATGCAGAAAAGCTTTCTTGCGACATTTCTAAATCTGGAATTGTGTCAGCTTTGCATTCAGCTGTGTCCCTAAAGTGAGAACAAAGGGCTGCGTGGGGCTGCCTTTCCGAGGCGTCCCGGCCCTTTGAAATCACTGCTGCTCTCCGTTGCCGCATGGAAGTCCAAAGATGGACTTCTGACTTGCCCTCCTGACACCGCACCGTCACTAGCCAACAGCGTGTCAAAGCAGGGAGCTCAGCCTGTTGAAAAGTATGACTTTTCCTGTTAGGAAAAGCTTCTGAATGGTCAGCCAGACAGTGGCTTTTTCATCGCCAAAGGAGGTCTCTTCTGTCCTCCTTAGCCAGCAGCTAAAATGCCAGCAGTGGAGGAGGGCAGACGTTGGATCTAAGCCATGTATGCAGCCAAGGACCCATAAACTTCCCCTAAGCGAGGGAAGCCCCAGACAATGTTATCTAGCAGGACCAGACCTCGTGAAAAGAAAATTTCCAGGCCTTCTCTAGTGTCCTATAGCTAGATAGATAGAGGATGAGGTTTTGATTGCCTAGTTACCTGTAGTGGGGAGATACAGACATATGTTAATTACTTAACATTAGAAAGATTAGTTTCCTTTCAAAACTAAATAAGGAGTTAAATAAATATCAGCAATAATTTGAATAACAGGGATAATATGTTAAAACTAATTCTTTGGAGGGGGAAGAGAGATTGGAAAGGCTTTGAAAATCAGGAGCATGTATGGACTCTGCTGCACTGGAAATAGCCTGAGTTGACATACGGCTGCGTTCTGCTGTCTTTTGCTATCAAAGAGCATTTTGTGCCCTTGTATGAGGGTGAGGCTGCACTCATGGGGAACAAGGTAGGCTTCCCAGGGCATTGCTACTTATAAGGTTTTACAGTCCTGTACCAGCTTCTTCCTGCCCTCCTCTGCTGGAGGTTTCTTCTTGGGCCCCAAAGTGACAGTTTCTGTTGACCTTTGCAGATGTCCAAGCCTGCTTTGGCCAGCTGGCCTTCCACTATTCCGGGCTTAGCATGACCCTTCCAGGGAATTTGAACCTGCAGTTTCTGATTTCAGTCAGGCCCTCTGAGATAACTGCTTTCACCTGGCATGACTCCCTCTTGTTGCTCCTTTTCTTATGTCAGCTGGACATGGAGAGAATGAGGCAAGATGTGCGTATTGGTAGTTTTGAAGATGACCATCAGAAAAGAAAATGTTTAGGAGTTTTGGGGACAAAACCCTTGACATGCATTTTGTCACACACACTGGAAATCAGTACTGAGTACGATACGCAAGATGAAAAAAATTACATATGGCAGAGCATTCAAAATTAGTTTTTTAAAACTAACTGAAATTTTGAACAAAACCTCATGTTGTGAGGAAATATGTCTATTTTGTCAGATTATTATTCTTAGTAATCTAGTGTTGCACATGGAGTCTGATTTTGAATAGTGCTTGTTTTCCACACGTTTGAGAAAGCAGATGGAGGCAAATGCACAGCTGGAGTAGGGAAGGTGGAGAAAGATGCGTTTCTGGAGATGTTGTGGTTACACAGGTGGCACTTTAGGTTGACAAATACAGCAAAAGTAGACAGAGACCAGAACTGGTTCCCCTCTTCCCCTGGTTCGAGCCACAAGGCAGGCAAATCTTGATGAGCTGGTTCATCTTCTTGTTTTGGTGCTGGGTGAGGTAGTGGGTCTTGGGATCAGAATAAAAGCTTAGAGAAGATAGGTAGGAGAAAAACTATAGGAAATCAGACAGGAAGAAAAGGCAGAATGAGGTTATGATGATCTGGTAGCCAGTTTGGTTTTTGAGGTGATTGGCAAGGCTTGCTGGTCGCGATGGACACTTCTACTGTCCTCCAGAATCTGTCTTTCCGTTTCTGTTCCCCTAGATTTTTCTTCAGAACCTGTTAAAATGCTTATAAATGGAATCAAGCTACTTCCATGTTGAGATCTCCAATTTCATGTGTTGTTTTGTGGTTCCCTTCTACTGTTCTTCACAAATTGTGATCCTAGACTTGTGTCTTGCAGACTATGCTACTGTCCTACCCTCCTACTAACATCCGTGGTAGGCTGCTTCAACACCCTTTTAGTTTCTGGCCTCTTGTTAGCTGTTATTTCAAAATTTAGGACAACTTTTCTGTAGATATAGTGTTCTTGTGTTCTGCAAGAAATTACATGACAAAAAAAATGTTTATCTGCAGCTTGGTATTGCAAAGGATAGTCTCTTGTTAACCTGACAACCCTTGTTAACCCGACAACCCTTGGGCTTGGATTTTTAAATTTTAGTTTTGAGGGTTTGGGATTTTTTTTTAATATTTAAGAACAGAACACGGAACATAACTTGTTACTCAGGACATAATGAAGAGCTTTGGCAGCTCCAGTCAGTCCTGGGACAAAATATCTTTATCTTGTGCCTTCAAGTATTAGAAGAACTGATTTTGCATATTAAAATATTAATTTTGAAAAAGTAAGATGGTTTTAAGACTGAGTTTTAATGCAGTTTCGTCTGTACTGTTTGCATTCCCTTCTCCCTCGTGATTTCTTAGGCAATTTGTGATGCTATATATACAACTTGGAACTTAATCCTCAAATGATTTTCTGTACGTATATTCTCATATAACACAATTAATATGAACCTCACTGAGTTTCAGTGGCAATACTCACAGGCTGATGCATTGGCAGGATTTAGGGATGTACATGATGAGATTCCATTATAAGATCCATAAAACAGGATCTAGCATTCCTGAACTTTGCTCTGCCTAAAAGCAATCAGCTTGAACTCATTAGAGCGAAGCTGGTAGTCCTATCTTCAGTGAGATTTGACTGTCTGATATATTTCGTCTCCTATAGGAGGTATGTGTATTTCAGAACGACTCCTCCAACATTTTATTTAACTTTTCAGAACGTCAGACTTGATCAGGCCACGTGGCAGACAAATTATGTTGCAACTCTGCAAACTTGTTTTAGCCAGTTCCAAGTGGTGAGCTGATAAAAGATATTTCCAGACTGGCATGTTTTCCTCTTTCATGCTTACCTTTTACATTTTCAAATAAAGCGAGGGTATGTTTGCAAAGGCAAATCAGTATCAACATGCCCAGAAGAGAAGCATCTTCTCTTCTCTCTATCTGAACGAGTTAAAATTATATATAAGTAAGGGTTTTAGCAGGCTCTGCAGAAGGTCTATCCTTACAGTAGGTTTCTTATAAGGAAGCTTGACGTGAAAGGCTTTCCTGAAACTTATGTCATCTTGAGCATGTTAAGTAACTCATTTTCTATGGATACATTGATGCTGGAGCTTGCAGTTAGGAGTACGGTGTTTGGAAATTAAGCTCTATGTCTCAGTCATTTTCAGTTATTTTTTCCTGAAGTGCCTCTTACGCATATAGCATCAGAATAGGCTGATCTTTGAAAGTGAACAGAAATAAAACCTGTGCTCTTACACCTTATTTTGTTTTTCAGAATTCAATCCGTCACAACCTGTCTTTGCACAGCAAGTTCATCAGAGTGCAGAATGAGGGAACAGGGAAGAGTTCTTGGTGGATGCTCAATCCCGAGGGTGGAAAGAGCGGCAAATCTCCCAGGAGACGAGCTGCGTCCATGGATAACAACAGCAAGTTTGCAAAAAGCAGGGGCAGAGCTGCCAAGAAAAAAGCATCCCTTCAGTCTGGTCAAGAGGGAAACGGTGACAGCCCCGGATCACAGTTCTCGAAGTGGCCGGCGAGCCCCAGCTCTCACAGTAACGATGACTTTGATAACTGGAGTACGTTTCGACCTAGAACTAGCTCTAATGCTAGTACAATTAGTGGAAGACTTTCCCCTATTTTGCCAGAGCAAGATGATCTTGGAGATGGGGACGTGCACTCCATGGTATACCCGTCGTCGGCCACCAAAATGACTTCTACTCTACCCAGCCTTTCAGAGATGAGTAATTCTGAGAACATGGAAAATCTTTTGGATAACCTTAATCTTTTGTCACCTAATACATCAATGACTGTGTCAACCCAGTCTTCATCTGCTACCCTGATGCAGCAAACGCCAGGTTACTCGTTTGCATCCTCGACCACAAGTATAGGTTCAGCAAATCCAGACTACAGGAAATTTACTTATGCTCAAGCTAGCATGAACTCTTTGCCCCAGATTCCTATGCAGACTCTTCAAGACAGTAAATCAAGCTACGGATCGATGAGCCAATACAATTGTCCTGCAGGACTTCTGAAGGAGTTACTGACTTCTGATTCTCCTCCGCACAATGATATCTTGGCATCAGTAGACACTGGTGTTTCCCAGCCTGGTGGCAGGGCACTGGGCCAAAGTGTGCTGATGGTCACTAACTCGGTGATGCCAACATATGGCAGTCAACCACCCCACAACAAAATGATGAACCCTAATGCCCGCCCTCACCAAGGACATAACCAGCCAACACCTGCAGTTAATGGTCGTGCCTTGTCACACACAGTGAACACCATGTCACATACTTCAGGTCTAAATCGCTTGTCGACGGTGAAGACTTCGTTACAAGTGCCTATGAGTCACCCGATGCAGATGAATGCTATGAACCCGTATGCCCCTGTTAACAGTTGCAACGGCTATGGAAGGGTGGGAATCGTTTCCCTCCACCAGGAAAAGCTTCCCAGTGACTTAGACGACATGTTAATTGAACGATTGGACTGTGACATGGAGTCGATCATTCGTAATGACCTTATGGATGGAGAAACGTTAGATTTTAACTTTGACAGTGTATTGCCTAACCAAAGTTTTCAGCACAGCGTAAAGACAACCACACACAGTTGGGTGTCAGGCTAGGATGTAGTAGGAGGTAAGCTGTGCTTTTTATGATAAATCTGAAAAACAGCTTAAAGGGAAAAGAGAAGTCAAATGCTTAAAATCTGAGTGGCTTCCCACGTTGGCATGTGAAGTGCCTCTACTGTCAGTCACTTTCCAGTCCTTTATTAGTTTGTAAATCAGGTTTTCATTAGGATTGCCGTGCACCCGCTTCTGTTATATTATGTAGAGCACTGACATTTTGCCGTTGCTATCTTGAATAAAAACTCGCTGGTAACTAACATTTATTAAATACATGTTTCCCCTCTAAGTTGTCTTAAAGATAGTTTGAGCATGTTTTAATTGGTAGCCTCTTTTGGTGTGAATGTTGATTTAATTGTGTTTTTATTTTTATTTTCCTAGGCTACAGTTAAATTCTCCAGACTTGTCTGACAGCAGGAACTGAGAAAGCAGTACAAAGATGTCCTTCACCTTCCTTTTTAATTTTCTTGACAAAGCTGTGCGCATGCACTAGCTTTTTTGGGGGTCTTTTTTTCTTTTTTCTTCCTTTCATCAGAGCTGGCAGCAGAGAGAGTATTTTCCTGTACAGGATGTTTGCCCAAGGTTTGCAGGTTATGCGCTGCTGTAGATAAGAACTGTGCCATTGGAAATTTCATTACTCTGAAGTGCCAAATTCACTACACCATATAATCACAGCAAAGACTCTTACATCATGTTGTGCTTTCGGTTTTGTACAGTATGATCTGTAGAAGAATTGTTTTTTAAGACTATCTGTTTTGGTCCAAGAAAAGTTTATAAACTTTTGTAAGAATACTGTGATGATCTCATGCCCTAAGTAAGTTTAACCTTCACTGATGTTACCTGTGTTCTGATGAATTGAGATAACTGTGGAATTGCTTTGCAGCAGTATGAACTGCTTTATTTTACTCAAAATTGCCACACATTTCGTATGGGAACAGAATAGCCTGTTAAATATGATCCTACTAAACTCACTGACTATTCAAAACAAGCAGCAGGTTAAATGCCATTTGAGAAGTTACCTGTATTCATGTAAATTTATGCAAGAATATATCTGAATTTCATAGTTAGACTAATGACTTTATTGTTGGACTTAAGATAATTTTTGGAGTAGTTTCCAAGCTATTTTTCTTATAATTAAAGTCTACTTTTGTTACATAGGCAACTTAAAAAATTGCAGAATCTGAGATCTGGCAGCATTCATAACCTCTTCATTTTGTACAGTATTTTAACTGGATTAAGTACATGTTTTTATAAATTTCCTAGCGCTTGGAAGCGCTAATAAAGGAAAAGCTTAATAAGTATCTTGAAAACAAAAACATTTCTGTCCCTTTTTTGTTGTGTGATGTATAAATATAGACAACTTTATGTTTAGGAAATATTTAATCAGTTTTATATATGCATTTTTAGAAATGTCATCTGCTTCTATTATCATTTTAACTCTGACTACCACAAAGTGTTAAGTATTCACTGTTAGATGCTTGTACAATGCTTCACATTTATATTTATTTCATGGAGGTCTCATAATGTTTGTGCACTCAAGAGCAGGACCATTTGGAGAAAGTTCATAATTTCGGTAAAATTAATGACAGAATTGTCCTGTGTCTCAATTAGCACTAGATTTAGGGTCTGTCAAAGTGTCTGTTGTCACGCAGGATGTTTGAGGAGGTGAACGTGCTACTACTTAATGGGAGGCTAAAATTTCTGTGATCCTCTATTTTAGGGCAAGAACATTACTTTTTTTGAAGTAAGAAAGAAAAAGTAAGTGTCAAAGTTATACAAATATACGAACTTCAGGGCAGGGAATAGAATTTATGACAGAGGCCTTGCTTCTATAAAAAAACTTTTGCTCTTGTTTGAGTAGGCACACTGACAACTACCTGAGCGTTTTCAGGATTTGGGTCTTGGATAAATATTTCTGTATTTTTGTAATTGCATGATGTGGTTTTCACAGATGTGTGGAGTACTGGCCTCGTTTGTCTTTTCATTGGTTGCTACTCATCATTTATGTTACAAAAATCTTTGAAGCTGCTTTATGCACTGTCAGTATGAAGAGTTTTTGTGCTACGACTGGCTGTTGTGAAGAGGGAGAGAAAGAAGTATTTTCACTAATTTTTGTTTTCTCTAAGTGACTTAGAACTGGAGAATGTTCTAATCGGAACTTATCTCTTCTCTAGTGATGGAGTATGGTGGAGAAAAAAAATGCAATGTGCCAAGAAAGCAAAGTTTAATAAGCCGTGTATTTAATGATCTTGGTATGACTTTCCTAAAACTCTACAATATATTTATTGATGTGCTAGCGTTTAGCTCCCTGCTGGGCTTAAATCACTTCTAATTACAGCTAGTCCTACTTTTTTAGATATTGTATTGCAGTTGTCAGCAGTTGCAGAAGTTGATGTTAAGCTGTCCTGTGATATAGGATCTCCCCAACCGTGAAATCTCTCTTTGAACTTCTTTTGAGCAAGATGAAATTCCTAGTGCTGTAGCCTCTGCGAAGTGGCCTGCTTTTACTGGCAGGTACCTCTAGTAGCATCTTCACCACCACGTGAATAGTCCCCAAGACTTGATTGCAAATGCTGGCAATGGAACAACCTAGGACCTCACAAATGGGTTTCTGAAGATCCTTCTTTTTGCTGCATGTGCAAAAATTTGCTTGCAAATGGGCACTGGTATGCATAGGCCAAAGTAGTCCAAAAGTTCACCTCTGTGCACAAAGGAAGCAGTATTTAACCCTAAGCTGCATGGGCTTGCAGCTGAACGTGCTACATTTAACAATATACCTCCTCTTTGTTATTTACTGCTACTGTATAGCTTCCTGTATTCAGATATTTTCTTCATTTGCAGTTATAACTACGAATACCATAAACGTAGCAGTTCCTTGATTGCCACAATCTGTAGGAAGCCCCTTGTAATTATTATGAAAAAATAATCGTAGATAATCAGATGTTTTGGGTTATGTGGTCAAATTTATTTTCTTTTAAGTGGTGCCATTCTAATATTTTACAATTGTAATTCTGGAATACTGTGAAGTCTGATGAAGGGCATATTGGCTGTCTTGAAAACAAACATTGTGTGACCTCTAGTAATAAATCCTTTTTCAGTAAAAGTATCAAGTTTCTGGAGTAACTTAGTTTGTCGGAATTGTTGTAAATGGTCGGTTTGTGAATTGTGCGGATGATCTTACCTATGCAGCCTTGTTTTTGAATTTTCTCTGGTTTGTACTGTTATTAAAAGTTTATTGTATTATAGAGCTGTTCAGATATTTTAAATATAAAGATGTTTTGTTTCCATAATATAGCTATATGGTATATGTTTAGGTAGTAAATGCATTAATTGGAAAGCTCTGCTTTGATAAAACTGACAATTTGCCTACACTTATAAGCAAAAGTCATACTGCTTATTATTGGCTTAAGTCAACAGAGCATCCCTAGGAAGAGGAGAAGTTAAAATTGGACCAATTATAAAACAGTATAAAATTTGCACTTGTTAAACCACTGGATGTATGTTAGTACTTTTTTATTTTTTTACTGATTTGAAATTCCTATTTTCATTATGAAATTGCTAGGATCCTTAATTTATGACTGATTTAAAGAAGGTATTCTCTCTCTCTCTCTCTCTCTTTCTCTCTCTGTCTCTGTTTTTTTTTTTTGTAATCATGATGTAACATGGTTTATGCAAACAAAAAGAAAATTCCTTGGCATTAAAACTGGCCTCCTTTTTGAGGGTGTTCCACAAACCAGCAATATCATGAGAGATTGGCATGTACATACTGCTAGTTCGGCTTGTGAGTGATGTGACAGCTCTGTAGTGCTTCACTGCTCTTAGTAACATTGCAGAATTTAAATTCATATGTGGATATTTTCAGAAAAAGTGCCTGATGTACTTTTACAGACACAAGAGAACAATCCCTTACAGTTTGTTGTATAAAGCCATAAATGTATATAAATTATGTTTAAAAGGTTTTGTGTCCTTTCTTGTATATTGAGAATGAGATTTGTACCAGGATTCTACTTGTGATTAGTAATCCTTCTACTCCGACGTCGTAATCCCTTTCGTTACTGCGTAATCTTTTTAATGCTCACGATCCCATTTGGACAATCCTGATGGCATTAGCAATTTTATGTAGAAAAATACCTCATGGTACCAAGTCTTGCCTGGCAAGACGATACCATATTAACAAGCAAACACTAACTGCAGAATCGTTAACAATTTTTCCATGTCTTGATATAAAGGAATTTCTTGGAATTGCTTCTGGAATTGGAACTGTATCAGGTACAGTGACTTAATAGGGCTGTGTTATAAGTGTTTTATCACAAGGTAGTGTGCTAAAAGTAACTTGTTTACAAGTCTTTGAGACTAAACGCAAGGAGAATCCATGCCTGACCCTCAGAGTTGGTAAGAGATCTTGTGGAGAGACTTTGTCACTGGAAGCTGCATTACACAGCATCAAATGTTGTTGCCATTGCTTCAACGAGGCTGGTTCAGAGAAAATCACAAAATTTCTGAAACCCTTTCAGAGTGGGTATTTGTAAGTATAAGCTCTTAATAAAATTGCTATGACATGAGATGGTAATTAGTGTATCAGAATGTTATGTAAGACATTGTTAAAGAAGAAAAAACATCCATCAAACTCCAGGAAAGAATTAGTCTTTTAGTCCAAATTACTTGTTAGATCTAATGCTACTGGATGTGGGAGGGAGCCGGCTCTGGAGAGACATTTTTCTCTTCCCTACACTCCCCCTGTTAAAGTGAGATGGTTCACAAAGTCCTCCTGCCCCTCTTCTCCCTCGTTTTCGCCTCTTGTCTTCCCCGGCCCCACTTCTTTCCTGAAGTATACGCTTTCTCTAAGAGTAGGGTTTTTGTTTTTTTTTTTTCTGTGCCAAACGGTTGCGCTATCTAGGCCAACCTGCTCAGCGCTGCTCTTCTCGCAGCCGTGTTTTACTCTGCGGAGGCAAGAATGCTGATGTGAGTAGAGAGCGCAGGAATGTCTTTTTTTTTTTTTTTAATTTAGATTGTGTTTCAAAACAGAGCTGGAAGAAAGGAGGAGACGCTGCCAAAACAGACAGCCAACAACACCCACGCCACGATAGTCTTGAGAGGCCCAGATCCCTGCTTGCCTGCAGGTGGGGAGGGAGCGGGATGGCAGAGAGCAGGCTTCTAATGAGTTGTTGGCCACAAAATGCCAGTTTGGTCTTAAAGTGAGCAGAAGTGGACCTAAAGAAAGTGAAAGAATGCAGCAGTATGGTTGCATATAAAACCAGAAATACCTAAAAATATTTTAAAAATAATTTTCCCTTGCATTTTTCAGGTCCATCGTTATTTTAGCTTTGTCCTTTTTCTTCCGTGTACATACATTTTGGGGGGATTTTGCGCACTAGGAAAAACAAGCTGAGGGTCTCTTCAAAGATGTATTGAAAAGCCTGACTTCTGGAATGGGAGGATTATAAAATCCCAAGATTCTACACTTGTGTGTTTGCGAAGCTGTTGTTGGAAAGGATGTTCATTTAATTGGTACATGACTAGTTACTGCTGTCAGGAAAGATAGTCAAAGCTTGTCTTTTGGGAATGACTGGCTAGCAGTTAATGCCCATCTGGCGACGAGGGATTTGAATCTGCTGATCAAGCATAGAAACCTTAAAGCATCCTTGTGCTCTGAGTCAGTTTTACCTCAGTGTAATAAACATGTTTTTGTGCAGAAACAACAGCTATTATGTCATGTCAATTGATAGTCCAATTAAAAGTACAAATGATATTAGATGTTGCAGCCATTTATTGTGCAGCTGGCGTGCACAGATGGGTTTTTTGAAGACCCGGAGAAGGAAAAACTTGCACTGAATAGTGCTTGTGGTCATGCCCACTGCTGGAATTGCATACAAAACTCTGTTCATTACCTGATGATGTTTTTTACCTGGGGTAATGTTTTGGCATGTGCCAAAATGATAGCTAAAATGAGGAGGCAGGGATAGCGCCCTGCCTTATTTTATGTTTTTCTACTTGCTATTGGATCCCTGGGGCATTCAGAAATTTTGCATGTATTTTTTGCTAGTAAACTTCTTATTTGGGTGTTTAGTACTGAAATGGTGGGATAAGGGATGAGGGCTTTGTGCAGTACTTCTGCAAGAGGACTACAGGAGGCTTCTGATGGGTATTAGTTTGTAGGGCAAAGAATCTGATAAAGAACTTGTTTGTAACTTTGGATATAAACAGCTGAGGTTCCTTTCTGTGTGCCTACCTACAACCGCTCATGCCACCTTAAGGATGGTGGCCTTTCCAAATGGTTTCCTATTTAGTATCCGAGAGTGGCATCAGCTGAACAAGTGACTGCCCAGAGGGGCACATGAGCTTTGCCAGGGAGCTATGAAGTTTGGTGGTAAAGTGTGAATTCCTGATGAAATATTTGATCAACCTCGATTTTGCTGAAGTCAGAGGAGTGCATCTCAACATGGAAAAACCCATTACAGAAGTGCGGATGTGGATGACAAATTCTGTAGGTCTTCTGAGCTGTTTCCTGGCCAACGAAGCAGTGCAAATGTTTGCTTCAAAGGTTGAGGAAGGATGGATTTCTTCTGGGGGAAGGGCCGAGTCCAGGAGCAAAAGAGATTTTTTTCTCTTGGATTTTGAAGTTGCATTCAGTAGCTGCCACTGTGGCACAAACTGCAGAAAATCTTAGGCTGATTTATTGCTTTAGTCTTTTTGACTAGGTAAAAACAAGTGAAAAGCAATGAAACTCTGAGAGCTGGAGTCTCATCTCAGGAGTCCAAATAAGTTACCACTTCCTGCTCCTCCCTTTCTTCCCCCTTCACCCCATCAAGTTAGAGAGCTCAAGAGGATGGTTGCTGCTTGGGGTTTTCTTTTTCCTTCCCACCCCTGCTCAGAGGAGCTTTTCTGCATATGGGTAAGTCAACTTGCTAAATGCCTCTCCTGTGCCATCTCTGCAGCCTTTGGGCCACTTGCCCACCTTTCCTTTTGTGGGACGTAGCAGGACGAGTGAGAAGGCCTGAGGCGTTGCACTAGGAGGCAGCAGAAAGTGGAGCTCTCTTGCTGGATTAAGACAGGCCAATCTAATATGTGCCACTGCCCAGTGTTGGCTTCCTTGTAATTAAGGTGGGGGATCTGAGGGGTAGGAAGTCACTGTAGTCCCAGTGGTGGTGATTGACCTGCAGTAATGAACTCCTCCTCCTCCTCCAGCCCCTACAGCTGAGCTCTTGAGCATATTAGTGGCAAAATGAGCCCCAACCTACTTGGTCAGTTCATTCCATGGATGAGTCCAGGAGTTCTCTGAGGTGGGAAGACATGTTTGTAGTCTACTGCTGGGGGTTTCTATTAAGTAAGGCCTAATGTCAAAACAGTCTGTGGGGGTTGAAGAAGCCTTGCAGATGGAGCTCCACCTGGGGCCATGTTGGCTGTCAGCTCCTTGCCTTGGTCCTCTCCCAGGCAGCCTGGACATCTTTTAACTCACGAGCTGTGCCCTACTAGCCTGCGTTAGTTTTTCACAGGAAGGTTTTCTGAGCAGGATTTCCTTGGTCCAGCCATCTCATTTGGCCATAGGCAAGCTCTTCTTGTGTCTTTTGAAGTTTTTTTTTCCTTTGAGGTGAAATAAGAAGTGATGGCCTCCTGCCTACAGACTCCTTGAGCATCCGGTTTTTATCTTAGTGGCTCTGATGTGGTAGAGCTGAGTGTCTGCCACTATCTGAGAAGAGTGACAGGTGGTTGGGGCCAGCTAGTATCCCCCCCCTCCCCCCCCCCCCCAAAATGAAAGAATTTGCATAGGCTGGACTTAACTGGTGTGTGAGCCATTGTTTAAACAGGACTGCATGCCAGATAAATGAAGTAAAACTTGGTGATGCCAGTCTTTGAAACAGTCCTACCATGATCAGAAGAACTAGATTTGACTTCCACGTGTGGTAAGTTTCACAGACTCCATAACAGACTCTGTAACAGCATGGAGTGACATGGGGAAATAGTGGCCACGTTACTCCTGGAGAAAGCTGTGCTTCACAAACACAGATAAGTTGACGAGCGTGAGGACATGGGTGACCACTGTAAGCCTTTTGGATTTCCAAAAGCCTTCAGCAAGTTTCCTCACTGCAGTTCCTGAGAGAGTTGGGATGTAATGGAGGTCCCCTCCGTGCCTAACAACTGGTTTAAAGGATGGGCCATCAGAGTGGGAACAGTGCTTAGTTTTCCCAAGCTAGGGAAACTACCACTGCCTTCCCTTAAGGACCTGTTGCTGTTCAGTGTATTTGAAGAATGATCAGGAGAGGCAGCTGATGACAGAAATTGCTGAGCACACCATTATGCAGGATAGTGAAATGTCACACTGAGCCAAGAGTAGTGGGAGTGCTTCAGGATGTTTTGTGACTAGGTGATAAAATGGCAGAGACCATTAAATGTTGATAAACATCAAGTAACGCACAGGAGAAACAGAAGGAAAAGTAAGTCTGGAACACAGATGCATAATGAACTGTGAATGAGCTCTTACTACCACGAGAAAGATCTTGGGGTCATTGGGAGAATTTCTTGCAAAGAGCCAGCTCTCTATTAGCTGTGAACAAGAAGACAGAGTAGAAATAAAAACAGGAAAACTGAGCAGAAAACCTCTGCTGTGCTACTATTTACATGCAAAATGTCTCCATATCTTAAATATTGTATGCTGTTTGGCTCTCAAAGAGGCTATTGAAGAGCTACAAAGAAAAGAGTCAGGAACAGAGACTAAACAGGAAAAGGGATGAGGGAGGGTATATATGAGATGATAGAGGTGCATAAGATTGCAGATGCTATGGAGAAGGTGAATGGGAAATGATTAATCAGTATTTCTCGTGACACAGATTGGGAGCACCCAATGAAGTGATCAGGCAGCAGGTTTAAAACAAACAGAAGGAAGTACTTTTTCACACAATGCATAATTAAATTTTGGAACTCATTGCCAGGGGATGTTGTGGGGGCCAAAAGTATAAATGGATTCAAGAAGAGATTAGACAAATTATTAGAAGACCAGTCCATCAGTTGCTATTAAACACAATGGTGCGGATGCGACCTCTAGCTCAGGAAGTCTCTAAATGGCCAGTTGCTGGAAGCTGGGAGCATGTACCAGGGAAGGGATTACTCAGTCCATGGCCAGTTCCTTATGCTCTTTTCACCTTCACATCCGTTGCTGGCCACTCTCAGGGACAGGATATTGGAGTGGGTGGACCTTTGATCTGACCTGGCATGGATACCTTCTGCTTCTCAATTGTATTGGGAATGGGTGGGTACAGCAAGAAAGGCTTGCCCCATACCTTTCTGGGAGAAGGTTTCAGAACATCGACGCCTCCCTTTCCAGTGTCTCACCTTCTGGTAGGGGTGATGGATTGGTGCTCTCTCTTTTGGGATTCTTGCTTGATACCCTTGACTGAGATTATGTTCTCACCATAATAAGCTGTGATGTAACAAATGCAAAATATTAGGCAAGGCCTGTAGGCTTTTAGGGCAGAAAAAAGTGCACAGGAAAGACAGGATCAGGGAGAAACAAAACCTATGCTCTTCCCAAGCAGCTCTGCAGAGGTTATGCTGAGCGCAGGGTTAA